CATTTCATTAAAAAAAATGCTCGCAAAGCGAACTGCTGAAGCATTTTATGCACAGCAATTAACAAACAAAACAACTCAAGAATATGCATTAGCAAAGAACTCCGCACAATCAAAAAAATTCTCCATGATGAGGAGGAAGGAGAAATTCATTGTATTTTTGTCGATACCAGCTCTTTGTTTGCTGATTCAGCCGATTTGGCAATTCTATGAATGCTAGCGTAGCATTCCAGACCAATATAAAATGCTATAAATATCGTGAGCAGATTTTGATGATTAGGACGTGAAATTTGGCGCGACATACGATTATAGCGGGATATTCGTGAATGTTATATAAATCTGAACAATAAATTTTCTCGTCGAGACACGTCCGATTTATGACATATCTGAAGACTAATTCATTGATTTTCATAGTCTGACGGGGTGTTTTGAAATATTCACGAAATTACAAAACTTGAGTGTTTCTCGTCGAACTCTGCTTTGCTTAAGTCATAGTTGAACGCTCATTTTTTCAGCGCTAATGCTTCTGATCGACAGTATTTTATCCTCCCGGACAGGTCTGGTACCAGTGACTTATTTTGGAGGGGCGAAAGGCATGACACGGCACTGGCAGCAATGCAATCGAACTGCTACTGCTATCCTGAGGGAGAGTAGAAACGTGGCGCAGTCTGAAAAGGGATTTGTCAGCACACCATACTTTATTATTTTTCGTTTCTAGTAGATACCCTCTCACTATTTTTTACCCGTTCCCCACAACTTTTGAATACGTACTGCACCAAAACTAGAATTTTAGGCCCATATTGATCTATGGCTTATGACCGTATGGCCTGTCTGTTTGTCATCTGCACGTTGAGATCATATCATATCATATCCTACAAAGATATCAATGGATGCTTTTCGATGAAATTAAACACAAGGACTGTTGGGTTCTAGAGCTTGAAAGAAAGGTTGAAGTTCTTCTCTATGAAAGGCTATTTAGCTCCCTGTACATGTTTGTGACTGCGGACTTTCTTCAGTAGACCTTCTTCGAGAGACGAGTCTTTGAATCCTTTCTGTTGTATGACTTGCGCTTGCCACTATATTTTCTCTGTCGATGATTCAGTAGTAGGAGGTAAGCAAACCAGCCCTTTTGGCGTTTCTGCTGGGACCGTATGCTGAATGTTGGGGAGGGGATGGGGTCCCCGACGGTCGACGGACTACTTCAACTCGGTCGGTACGGTAGGAGAGTGATGACGAAGTGGTGCAGCTAGGTCCAGCAGCTCCGCCAAAGGGCTGGTTTGCTCACCCCAGGACTAAGCCTTGGAGAGGGGACGGACCCGTCTCTCTCTTTAAGGCTTAGTTCTGAGGTAAGCACCAAATTGTGGCGGTTTAAGGACCGAGTTGAAGTGGTCCGTCGACCGTCGGGGACCCCATCCCCTCCCCAACATTCAGCATACGGTCCCAGCAGAAACGCCAAAAGGGCTGGTTTGCTTACTTCCAGTAGTAGTACACGGTAGTAAACGAATACGCCAAATGTGATCAGAAGAATGGCGTACGAGGTCGCAGACTGCACGCTGACTTACTGACTCGGGGAGGAAGCAGAAAAGAGGAGAAAGTCGGTTGATTGGGTAGAAGACTCAAGAAAAGCCTTTCTTGTATGAATGTGATTTTGAAAAATTCCTAAATGCCCTCCATTTCTGTGACACAGACACTTAGTGCAGTCACTCAGCAAAGTGTTAGAACTGAGACGGAGCAAAATTGTGTGATCCATTTCCTCCACATGGAGGTACATTTAGCGAGCGCGGCAGCTGGACAGCCGCTCCTTAACCTCTTAGACTACGACTTTTTTAGAAACAAATCAATGTGTTTTGTGTAGTAACAGTCGCTCCTAGCAACAACTAATCATCTGTAGAAATTTGGCTGACGCGCGCTGGGTTTGAGCTGGGATTCGATCCAGAGACCATATGCGCGGCAGTGGCCCCTCCTGTCACCACACCATCTCCGCTCGAATGAGCATTTTTGAACAGTTCAAATACCATTCAACAAATACACATTTATCACATCTCATTCGTGGAACAAGGCAATGTCCGGTTGGGAACGCACTTGAAAAGAATTGCAAGCCGCACTTTGTAGAAGTGCTGCTCCCCTGCCTACAGGCTGCGCCCACCGGCTGGCTCTCTCCAACGAATTTTCGCTGGTTTTTATGCTTGAAAGCTGCGTCATCATAGGAGTGTTCTACTACCACTTCCGCATCAAACGAACTGACAAAACTCCGGAGGTTGGAATTTCCAACGCAGTCGTAAAACGCCGTCGTCCTCTAACTGGCTTGCGGCCGATAAAAACCTCCATCCGTCATCGGTTTGCTTATGTTTCACCTGTTTCACAATAATTGAGGGAAATATTAGAACCATTAACACAAAGAGTGTGAGACTCGAAAACTACCTTTTCGGGAGCTGTGCACACTGCCCAGTGACCTGTGGAACGACTTGCTTATCAACTTATCCAGCGTAACTCGCTTAGACTTCTGATACTTCGCTGACAGAGTAAGAATTACCAAGTTTCTAGTTGTGCACAATTCCGCCATAAAGCGGGCCCCCGATCTCAATAAGTGCCCAAAAATGTGTGTCTTTGACCACCAAGTAGACACATGTGCCCACCAGTGGTCCAAAGGAATACACAAATGCGATTGTATTTATCTTTGTGATGAATTCCATTGCAACTCCCAATCTTCTCCTAATTTTACTCTGCACTTTCACCTATTGACTGCCCCTTTTTTTACTCTGCACTATTCACCTGATTTACTGCCCCTCACCGTCACAGCCAAGCCGGATTTCAATTCGTCCATTACCTGAGCTTTGGCTAGAAAATTACCTCCTCGAATTCTTCAACCCGTAACACACGAAAATCACATCACTTATCACGAAGATGCCTGGCGCTCGCACCACAGGCGCCCGACGCTGTCACGTCAGTTTAGCGTTAGCACGGGTTACAAGCTCACTCGCAAAGTAACGTGATATTCATGCTCTGCGGATCTGAGTACTTCTGACGAAAAGTCCCAGCAAAATTTGGTGACGCAAGTGTTCTGACACCTTTGGACACCGTCCCCTGCGATGTGGTGACCAAGCGTTTTAGCGCTGAACGAATGAGATATCCATGCTTTATGGCTCATGCTGCCTCTAGCGGCAACTTTCTGGGCAAATCCACAGCCAGAAACAAACTTCGATAACGTTCGGGCCCAGTTTTGATCGAGAACTATTTCGCGTAAATTCGAGTGAATTTAAAACCGAATATAAGGATGGGAGTGTAAAAAAAATTGAGATCGACTGAAATACATCCACGTTTTTCGCGAAGTTGCCAGAACTTTGAGTTTGAAAGATGGTCCACTCTCAAAGAAAATATGGAAAAAATACCACTCTGCGCCATAGGTACCTAGGACGTACAGCAGCGGTCCAAAATGTCAACTGAACGACTTCTGTGGCACTACCTTCCGCGTCTCACTTTGCGCACCTCGTTGGACATTGAGACGCGGTTGCGCGTCTCACCCTTGTCATCCCTTTTTCTAGCGTATGCGGGATTCTTCCCAATTTGCTTGCCTCTATTCTATGGATTACAACATAACATAACTGTAAACGACATGGGTCACGGTATACAAATATGCTCCAGTTTAGCAGAAGGTTTTTTAAGCAAGCGTTATTGGCAGCTCGGTTTAATCCTCGTTTTCTTCCTATTCTGATAAACATGTCTCACTGAGAAAAGGTAGTGAAAGTAAATAGAAACTTAAAGGGATAGAAAGATATATGTTTCACTTGACACATCCACATCGAAAATAGTTTTGGCATCCACTACAGAGAAAAGGACTTGAATTCCAATTTTCTTTACCATTTCACGTTTTTTGATCGGAATTTCGCTACTATATCTTCGATTACTTTCTACGCATTGAATATTGCTGAAATGGTTTCGTACCTTTGAAGCTTCCCAAGGTTATCGTCGAAATTTACGGGTGTGAGGTGCGACGGCCGCGCTCGCAAAAGCGCCCCTGTCCCACGCGATGCAAAAACCCAAAACGCACGATGTCGTCAAAGTGTGTTAATGTCGCTGCGGAGCATATAAAGAGTGGGCCTTACTAACATTCGTGACATGTCAGCACGGTGGCTGACAAGATTCACTGAGCAATGGCATCCACCGTTGGCTACCACGTTTCAAATGGGATTTGGAACATTTTCTTCCATGAAAATAATCCTCATACCCTCATTCATCTACGTCAGCCCTGGGTAGAGGAAATCTCCGTCCACTCAATCTTTATTGAACAAAAATTTCCTGACTGTACTGCCATTGCGCAATCCCGCGGTCGCGAATGGGTTAAATCTAGGCTGTTGCAGAATAAATGTCGTTTCTGAATGCAAAATCTTTTTAACAGCGCCGGCTCTGCTTTTATTAGACAAAAGATGGTTGTCAATGTAGCCCGAATGCTTAGTGTAGTTCAGCACCTCTGAGAGCTGCGTGGCGGATCCCCGCGAGGCCGTATATGCCCTCGGGAAAACGAAAAAATAGTTAGGCCCCCAAGTGAACAGCGGCTAACGAGAGCCGTCACCAACAAAAATACTTCAAAACCGCGCAAAAGAATCAGTGTTATTGCTAGAAATTCATCCGTAATTGGAGCGCAGAATCCCAATCCGAGTTCCGTGGTCAGTACGGGAAGGCTATCGAGGAGTGAAGGGACTTCGCCAAAGAAGTTAGTTTGAATTGTGACTCTTAGCTAAGGATCGCTCATGGAAAATCCCAAAAAGTGGCTGTTTTCATGAAGCGCAAGAATATACAAGTCCTATCTCTTCAGGAGACGCGATGGAAAGGTGCCAAATCCAGGAATTTGGAGAAGGTGTCAAACTCTACTACAATGGAGAAGACACGGAACGGCGTGGCCATAGCGGTGACGTAGACGTTCAAAGACTATGTGTCTGCTGTGTGCTGTTAACAAATCCTATAGATCAGGGATAGATCATGGCTGTTAGGATAGGCAGAAGAAAAAGAGATAAGAGGAAATACTGGAGCATCCTTCGGACGAGGCTTTCAGGGCAGTGGACTACAGCACGTGTATGCCAGCTACGGCAGCGTTTTTCGCGAAAGAGAGACTCCGAAAGTACCCCACAGCAGTGGTGGGAGACACACGGATATCGACCATGTACCCATAAGAAGATCATCACTCATAACTGCGAGGGGCGTCGAGGTACTCCCTGGCAGCGAACTGACTCCTCAACACACGTCCCTCCTGCCAGGCATTGCCATATACCACCCCAAGAAGGCAAGGATAAGAGCGAGAAGGAGAATCTGGTGGTGGAAGCTGCACCTAGCGGAGAAGAACGGCCGCAAACCGAACGGGGCCTGAAGCGGACTTCTCGAATCTTCAAGTTGTACAGTCCCAGCTGCATCCCAGCATCATCTGTTCTGTGCCCTTGAGCATCATCTACGTGAAATGAAGTAATCCTTGAAAGAATTCAAGGATTACTCAGATTTCGAAAGTGCAATCTCTAACTTTATTCCAACTCACACAACAACTTCAACACTTCGAAATTCTTCTGCCCAAAAATTGGGAAAGCAGCCTTTTTTGTACATAACCTCCCCTTCAAAAAGCCAGAAAGTGTCGGGTGCAGACCATACACCACAAGTGACGACGGCCTCCAGAAAATGCAAATGTTTTTTGCCAATGAAATGATTAACCTGTTACAGTTGTATTCGATCAGTTGACAGTAATTACAACTATCATTTACTAAAAATCAGCTATCACTATGAACCACTACTAACCAGATTTACTTTGAGGCCGTCGTCACTTGTGGTGTATGGTCTGCACCGCACAATTTCTGGCTTTTTGAAGGGGAGGGTATCGTCATGAATTGTGACGAGAAAAAGCTGCTATAGATTAAAACTTTTGTAAAAATATGAGCCACTGAAGCGAGAATTAATTTTTAGAACTTCCAATAAATTCTTGCACGGAATTTGCATGCATACATATTTTCTTTGTATCAGAGTTAAGATATCACAGCACACCAAAGACCCGCTCGATCCTTCAAAGGAAAAATGTTAAAAGTAATGCTCTACAACAAGCTCCCTTCACAGTACATACTATTTTTAGTAGCCTCATCATAGAGCCTATACCTGGAATTTAGGAGCGAGTTCATTCGCTTTCTGTTGTCGTCAGACCACCGCTGATTTTTTCTGAAGATCAAAGGTTTTCATCTCAACTTTGCAGCTATTCTTTTCTGAAGGTTACCTTTCACGCCTTACCTGAAAATATAGCTAGTCCAGGTCCATCTTCGGTAGGTGCAGAATTGTCGCTTCCCAATTCTAAAAGAAACGCAGTCAAAATCCCAGAAACCACCAATTCACCAATCAAAATGTCTCGATGGATCCCCTTCTCACTCTACCTTCTCCTGGAAGAATAACCGGTCCAGGTCCGGCTACAGCTGGAACGGAATTACCGCTGCTCATTTCTGAAAAGGAACACACTCAAATTATAGAGCCTACCAACCAGTTCACCTTTACAGGATACCACAAGGAAACATTCGTCTACCTTCTCCCGGAAGTATGACCGGTCCGGGTCCACCTTCTATAGGAATAGAGTTGTCGCTAGTAGTTTCTGAAAAGAGAAACGGAGTCAATCAGCCGTTTCTAAACCAGTCAATCCTGTATCTATAAGTTCGTCTTCGATCAATGATTGGCGTTACCTTCGCCTGGAAGTATAACTGGCCCGGGTCCGTCGACGGCAGGCGCAGAATTGTCGCTGCTCGTCTCTGCAAAGAAACGCAGCCAGAATTCCGAAATCCATCAGTTCCCCTTCTCGTCATGTCTCCATGTGTCACATGAATTACCTTCTCCTGGGACTATGACTGGTCCGGGTCCATCTACAACGGGCACAGGGTTGCTACTGCTCGTCCCTGAACAGGCATACTCAAAAGCTTATGTTCCTCACGCCTTTCTGCTAATTATTTTAACTACCTTCCCCTGGAAGTATAACTGGTCCGGGTCCACCTTCCGTAGGAATAGAGTTGTCACCACTGGTTTCTGAAAAGAACAACGCAGTCAAATGCAACCTCCAGTACACCTTTGTAGGTAGTGATCGGTGGCTGGAAGGTGGCGTAGTCTTGACAATGTCATCGCGGATGGGCATAAGATGCAGTACTGACCAAACCGTGGAGCGATGAAGGGTCAAGTTCACCAGTGACCTTCTGAGAGGTCATCAAAACTGCACCGCCCTCCAGCCATCGTGGTCGCCGCCTCTGAAGAAAAGTTTGCGTTACCTTCTCCTGGAAGTATTACTGGTCCGGGTCCACCTACAACGGGCACAGGGTTATTACTGCTCGTCCCTAAACACGTAGACATTAAGACACGTAGCTGTCATCCACCAGTTGGTCTTCCTCGCCTCATAAATGAATCACTTGCCTTACCTTCTCCTGGTAGTATAACCGGTCCGGGTCCACCTTCCATAGGAACAGAGTTGTCGCTGTTTTCCTCTGAAAAGAAACGCAGCAGAATTCCAAAACTTATCATTTCACTCTTTCGCAATGTCTCTATTCACTTTACCTACCCTCTCCTGGAAGTATAACTGGTCCGGGTCCACCTACAACGGGCACAGGGTTATTACTGCTCGTCCCTAAACACGTAGACATTAAGACACGTAGCTGTCATCCACCAGTTGGTCTTCCTCGCCTCATAAATGAATCACTTGCCTTACCTTCTCCTGGTAGTATAACCGGTCCGGGTCCACCTTCCATAACAGAGTTGTCGCTGTTGGTCCTCTGAAAGAAACGCTAAGCAGAATCACAAACTTATCAATTTCATCTCTTCCAAGTCTCTAATTCAACTTGACCCTAGCCTCTCCTGAAGATATAACTGCGTCGCGGGTACCACCTACAACGGGTACGAGTTATTAACTGCTCGTCCCTAAACACGTAACATTTAAGCACGTTAGGCACATGAAATCTTCCTCGCTCAAAATGAATCACTTTGCCTTACCTTCTCCTGGTAGTATAACCGGTCCGGGTCCACCTTCCATAGGAACAGAGTTGTCGCTGTTTTCCTCTGAAAAGAAACGCAGCAGAATTCCAAAACTTGTCATTTCACTCTTTCGCAATGTCTCTATTCACTTTACCTACCCTCTCCTGGAAGTATAACTGGTCCGGGTCCACCTTCAACAGGTACGGAGTTGCTGTTGCTTGTTTCTGGAAAGAAAAGAAGACAAAATTTTCAAATCTACTAGTTAGAACTCCAATGATGTCTTAGTCAGCCATTTGCTTTACCCTCTCCCGGTAGTATAACCGGCCCTGGTCCACTCTCGTTGGATACACCCTCGTTGCCCGCTCCTGGAACATGGCGATTTTCAGATCTGTAGTTGAGAAAGCGATGATTCTTTCTAGCTGACTCCTGGAATTAATCTGCCTTACCCTCTCCTGGAAGTATAACTGGTCCGGGTCCACAACGGGCACAGGGTTATTACTGCTCGTCCCTAAACACGTAGACATTAAGACACGTAGCTGTCATCCACCAGTTGGTCTTCCTCGCCTCGTAAATGAATCACTTGCCTTACCTTCTCCTGGTAGTATACCGGTCCGGGTCCACCTTCCAACAGAAACAGAGTTTGCTGTTGCTTGTTTCTGGAAAGAAAAGAAGATAAAATTTTCAAAGCTACTAGTTAGAACTCCAATGATGTCTTAGTCAGCCATTTGCTTTACCCTCTCCCGGTAGTATGACCGGCCCTGGTCCACTCTCGTTGGATACACCCTCGTTGCCCGCTCCTGGAACATGGCGATTTTCAGATCAGTAGTTGAGAAAGCGGATGATTTTTTTTAGCTGAATCCTGGAATTAACTGCCTCACCATCGTCCTGGAAGTATGACCGGACCCGGATCATCACAGGCAACGAATATATCATCGATTTGAATGAGTGATTGCAACTCTGAATCATCTTATCCTCTTGCTTTAATTATCAAAATGGACCCTCACATCATGTTGTTCCCCATGCATAGACCATCCCTTTCGACGAACCTGTGCTCCCTGAGGACTGGGATGCAACACTTAGGCGCACATTCTATGATTAGTTCTTTTGAATCAGTTGGGTAGCCGGGTCCACAACCACAGAGGTACATACATATTTCACTATTGCGAAACAGAATTCGTGAAAGGACGAAAAAGGTTCCATCACTTCCATTAGATTAATCACATCCAAGCATCAGCACACGCCCTTTCTTTGAGTTGTTGGTGTACGGCTCTTCGTCAACTTTTCAGTCTCTTCTTTGTGTATTGTGTGCACACAGTGTATCTCCGAACTCCTGCCTTGCGGACTCTTCCAAAAAGAGGGTCGTAGTGTTTTCAATGATTCTTACCCGTTTTCCGTTGATGAGCTGTCCCTACCTAGCTAGCAGCGGCATGTGCCTTCAAGAGCATGCCGCCTCAGGAGAGAAAGGGGGTTGGTTGCCAGGCAGCTCGAACGTTTTCATCCATAGGGGAAAGCCAGAGTTGAATAGCACCCATTGCCATTGCGCATTTAGCCCCGTCTGCCCTTGGGATAGCAATTGCCACAGGATACCGGTTAAAAAATGGATAGAAGAAATGCCGAATGGTGTTTTTATGAAGTAAAATAGAAACAAGGGAAACAATGGGAAATCCAAGAAACGAGCTCTTTTTGCCCGTTGAAGTGAACAAGTTTATCGCTAACATAAAGGTTGTTCGGGTGAAGTTAAACACTGAAATTATGGCAACTGCGATGGATAGAAAGTTACCGCTTCTACGGCTGGTGCCACAGTGCAATCTGAAAAGCAAATCAAACGGCTTCAGCAGTCTCAAATGCATTGTCCTTTCCACCCCTTCCACATGCCGGCGGTAGGCGTGTTCGAGACGCGTT